TGTTTTTACTAGGAATGTAATGAAAATGATGCTCTTTTCTTTCCTATCTAATTCAATGGCAGGATTTCTTTTTTTCAAAAACAACACAAATGTGGCAAAAATGAGTATCAGTCTCATACAGGGCCGTGCTAGCCTTTTCTGTATCATTCCATCTTAGTGTAAGTGCTGGTCAAGCAAACACCAGCAACAGGCTTTCTATGTGGACCTTTATAGCTGCTATTTACTTTGATCTCTTGATAAGAGTAGTATCTGTCACTCTTTTCGACTGTAGTATTGTTCTCTTTCTCTTTGTAGTGTTTTCTGGGGAGATACTTCATGTCAGTATTTTTTTCCTCATTAAATATAACTTTTTCACTCTTAATTTATGCTGACTTGAATCTAAGTTACCTATTTCACTCATTAAGACACAATCCATTATGACAATTATTTATTGCAGTTCTATGGTACCTTTCTTTTTCCTCTCGATCATAAGCTATCTTTTCCAAGAAATGGAGTAAGAACCACATAACTTTTTAAAACAATCAGTAGCAGATAAATAGTTGGTAATTCCCTAGGCTTTCATGAGGAAGACATTAAAATACCTCTCAGACTTATAAGCTCTTTCATCACATCCCCTGAGGGACAGCCATTAGGGTGAAGGATTCTCAGGTCCAGAGTTATCATTACTTATGGAAACATCACAAAACGTATTTAAAACACTTTTCATGGTCAAACTTTGGCTATTTATAGTTTCCCAACTTTGGCTATTTATAGATGAATAGCTTTTCACATCTTTATAGGTAGGTAATCATCACTAGTTTCTTCTCCCGTTTTTCTGGTTGGAAGACAAATCCTTATTTCAACTTTAAGTGCATTCAACAGCTTTTTCCCAGTCATACTATGTAAGTGCATGAGTGTTTCTCAGGCTTCTCTGTCATTAGCAATCTGCTCAACGTCTCATAACACATAGTGGGTGGTGGGCGGGGTACAGAAATTTAATGAGTAAAGAGATGTCATAATTAGGGCCTGATGCCTTCTGAATCCTTTTTTGGAAGGACATGCTTCATAGTAATAGTTTGACCCAAATGAATTTCTACTTTTCACAAACTTTGGAGAAAAAGTATCTGGTTACTGCCTTTAATGGTCCTCCAGGATGGTGGATATCCCATGGACAACAAGGGAGAGAGATTTCCTCTCTACACTGGACATGGATAAAGCTATTATGCTTGGCATGCTGCCTCCAGCCTGCAGCTGTGAAGATGTATGGAATACAAAAGAGTAGACTTGCCGGATACCGACAGAAATGAGAATTAGCATGAAAGTAGTAATTTTTTAGGAGTTTCTCACCTGGCACAAGTCATTACTAAGCATGGTCTGATTGGGCTGATCATATGACCTTGAGGTATACTGTAAAATCCTGCTAAACAAATGAGGATAGGGAATTTTTTGAAAAGTGAATTTCTAAAACTTTCAAATTTGAAAATGCATCAGTAAATACTATTTACTAAAAATAAGAAAATATGTTGGACTTAGAAATTTTGTGACTGTTCCTTTAGCTGTACAGATGGCTTTAATTCCCATAACTTTGGAATATATCCAGAGGATAATAATCTAAAATGACTGTACTCAACATTCATGATAGGGATGCCTTCCTTATGCAACAGAGCTTAAAACTCATCAGAAGTCATTTCCTTTTCCTATACATAATTTAGAGTTCAGCCTTTATGAGGGAGTCTTACTCTTTTTCTTTCTTTTTTTTTTCTGCTAGCAGATAGGAATTCTCAATTAATATATGCTAAATAAGTGACTGAATGAAATTATTATGCAAGATTCTCAGGGTTTAATATCCGTTGTAGATTTTCAAATAAGGCCTCTGTTACAGTAATAGAAAATGACTGACGACATTTTATGGACAGCTATTCATATTTTCAAACGCAATTCTCAGTTACAGAGCCTAAATTCCAAGAAACATGCAGCCAAATGATAGAAATGTAATTTGTATGTCTAATAGTAGAACCATTTGTCCTGTGGAGTTGAAATTTTCACTTGAAAAATGATTATCATTTACTTAACTCCACAGGGCTTTTTTTTTTTGTAGAAACAAAAATGAATAACAATCTTTACAAGACAGAAACAGAAATACATCTATTTAAAAAGTTTTAAAGATACCAACCCCTAAATTATATTACTAACAAAATTAGGAGAAAATTATTAATAAAACATAATTTAGGAGATTTATAGTACAGGGATTTTAGAAACATAAAAGAATATACAGAAACAGAAAATACAATTTTGATATTGTCAGGATCCAGGACCTTTTAGAGCTAAGGACATTTTAAACGATGAGAAAAAACTTTCTTTGATAATCAACAGGGTTAAATAAGTTAAATAATGCAGGGCAAAGATAGTCTTCAGCCAGACTCATTAATGAGAGATTTCTGATAGACCTACGGAGGGCAGAATTTCCCTATGCATACGAAAAGGCAACATCTAAGTGGGGAAACTAATACATTAACAACTCTTCAAACACTTACAATATCTTTTACTGATGTAGACACCAGGTTTTGAAAATAAAATTTAAGATATCACTTCATATAGTGTAAAAAAATAATGCTATTTCATATCAATGTACGATTTCATATCAATGTACCTCAGCTAGGGACTAAAGCACTTTTACGTATATAAATACACTCATGTATATACTTTTCTATTTGTTATTCTGTCATTCATTCATTTTGCATATTAAAGTACCATAAGCTGAGATAGATCTATACTCTAAATACTGCAGTAAAAAATTTCCTAACTCATAGACATCAGGATCATTTGAGAATTTGTTCAATAAATCTAGCCTGGCGTGGTGGCATATGCCTATGATCCCAGCACTGGGGAGGCTGAGGCAAAGAGGACTGTCACAAGTTTGAGGCCAGCATGGACTACATAGAGAGTTCAAGGCAGCCTGAACTACACAGCAAGACCCTGTCTCAAAAATAAAATAAAATATCCAGGGATTTAGCTCAGTGGCGTAAGTGCCTGCCTGGCAAGCACTAAGCCATGAGTTCAATTCCTGATACTAAATAAATAAATAAAAAATAAAGCACAAATTTACTAAATTTGAAACTGGAATCAGAACCTGTGGTCTTTTAAATAATCACTCCATTTAATTGTGACAAATGAGAAAATTTAGGAGTTACTGGTATAAGTTACACACTTTAAAAATTCCATTTTCATTCTTTATCATTGTAATTGTTTATTTAGGTATTTCATTTTGAAAAGAGGAAGAGTCATAAAAGTTCAGGAATATTCCAAATAAGAAAATGGAAACTTTCAATAACTTAATATTTTATCATCTTTAATATTATAGAAATACAAAACACTTTCATATAGATAGGCAAAAAGTTTTTGTTTCCTCATACAGTATGTATAAAAATATACCACATCATACACACCATACCATACCACATATACTTAATACTACTAAACAGATAAGTAAGTGTTCAGTGAAAACATATACAATGCTAAGATACATTCATTTCAATATAGCTTGTAATCTATATATTTCAAATGTGGTGAAAATCTGCATATATCTACTTGACAAAGTTATTATTTATCTGGCTAACAGCTGTGAGCTATTTAATTGCTTACCATTAGGAAATTGGAAAATGGTGTGATTATTTAAGGCCAAGCATTAATTAGGATCAAGTAAATATAGTTCCTTAGATCTCTGTGGTACCTAGTCTATATAAACATCTTCCAGTGCTAACTCATAAATGATTAAATGAAGGCCAGATACACTAGAGGAATTTGCATCATATTCCAGAACTTAATTTTCTACTCAATTTACTTTTTAAAATGTTGGTGACAGAATAATACATCAATAGAAACTAAGTTTTAAATCAAGTTTTCTCTCTTATGCGCAAGCATGAACAAGAAATCACCATAAACAAAAAGAATAGAAGAGCAATTATAATTTACCTAAATATGCACATTTTTGTGGGTAAAGGTTTATAATTAAAAATCATAAGACTTTCTCCCTAACTGTGCTCTGAAATCTCATAAACACACCCTGAGCGACTTCTTTCACGGGCCACAGAAAGTAAGGATGTAATTATTCTGCTAAAAGGGAAAAACCACAGAGGCTATTCTCTGAAGATGAGCTTTTCTCCTTGCAAAACAGAATGGTCTCTTTCCTGTCAAAGGAGAAGCATGTAGAAAATACTGAATTGGAGCAGGACTCCTTTGATCTATGGGTCAGTGACATTGTCTGCTCATCAGCTTGCTGAAGACTTTCAGCTCCACATGTGGGGAATGCTCTGATATCCATTCTGAGTGCATATCCTGGCTATGGGTTACCTGCATAATTGTTCTGACTTCTTAAAAAACTATATTTTCTGATAAATGATGTAGAAAATGTGACTGAGCTAGCAGCAATTCGGACAATCACCTATGAGGAATTGATGCTCACTGAGCTGCGATAATGAAACCAGACTGTGAAATGAACATGAAGTGAAGATACTGAGCCACAGCTGCGAAGAAAATCAAGTTGTAAGATACCCGAGTGCCTCAGTGGAATCCTGGATAGTTCAAATCAGGGTAATACCAGTATGGCCATTTTCCTGAGAATATTATCTGGGTCCACACTAATTAGAATTTATTATCTATTCCTGAAGGATATACAGTACATGATTAATAGAGTAGCTCTAATTTCAATGCTCCTTGAAGTAGTTCTTGTATAGTAGGCAGAAACAGGGTCACACAGGTCTCTCAGAAAAATACAGACATGCAGCCTCACTGCAGAAAGGAGATGGGGAGAGGCAGAAGATTTCCTGTGATGCAAAACAATTTCTTCAATCATCTCAACAATAAAAGATAATTGTTAAATTTACATTACACAAGACATTTAAACTCCCTTTTTCTCAGTAATAAATCAAATACATACTGTAGAAAAATTAGAAGATTAAGATAAAAGATAAAAATAAAAGGTAGTCACAACACACTCTCCAGAAATAACTGCTCTTAATACATTCCTTTTAAAAAAACTGTATGTGTTGATAAGGGAGAAAAAGAGACTAACCTCGTACCTTGGTATTCGACTGCTTTGACACTCTTTGAATTTGGTACTTAACACATCTCAATGTAAAAATTCTGTTCTTGAACTCCTTTATGTGGTACTTGAGGCTCAAGCCAGAATTTGTCAGTGTCCAATTACTGATTCTCTATCCTTTTCAGCTGAAGCAATTTGTTTGGCACTCATTTTTTTTTTTTAAGTACTCATGGTGCCTCTTGGAACCAGTTAACCACTAGTACCATGATACTACCGCAGACCACTTGGCTCTTCAATCTTCACTGTCAATCTTTGACTGGATTAAGAGGCTCCTGAAGAATTGATGGGATTATGAAGGTGCCATTCTTATCAATTGGTTAATCCACTGATGAATTCCAAGCTGAATGGGTTACTAGGCAGTGGGTTACAGGAAAGAGATCATGCAGGTATGTCCTTGGGAACCATATCCCAGCCCCTTCCTCTCTGGCCCTTCTCTGCTCTTTGCTTCTGGGATGCCAGGGGTTGAATAGTTCTCCTCTTCTGTGCCCTTCTGCCATCATGAGCCGAAAGTAACCTGTCCTTTAAGATGCAAGTATCAGGTATTTTGTGTGAGCAATTAGTAAGCTGACTTGTACAAAAGCTCTGGAGCCAGTGTTATTTTTTAATATCTGCCCAAGAATTCAAAACTCAGTATCTTATGCTTTTTTTTAAATTTCCCACAACACTGAAAGAAAAGTAACAGGGGTAGCCATAAGAATTCTTACTGCAAAGTCCTGTAAATCAAAACTCAAGTTCGAGTTTCCTGTCTTCTGGATACTTTTTAACGCTGCAAGAGACTTCATCTCTTTGATATTTTTAAATTCTGAAGTTGGGGTATAATTTGTTTTGCAGCTTTACTGGGTCATGAATACACCTCTGCAGAATATATGATCGAGATCACACACTGAGAAAGAAGAGTAAGGTACAGAGCCAGCCATGTACTGTGCTGCACAAAGAGGACACAGAGACAGAACTGTAAAGCAAGGGATTTTCTCTGACTGAGGGACTTGAGAACAGAAAAACTTCGCTTGAAAGAGGTATGGAGACTGGGTGTTCAAGCAACATGGTGGGGAATAGCCATACAACAGTACAGACAGACTGCAGCCAGATCATTAAATCACTATATGCCATGTGCAGGTGATGGGGAGCAACTTGAAGGGATTTAAACAGAAGCATTATATAAAATGATCTGTAATTTCAGAAGAATACCATACGATACAGAAAATTTATCTCACTTTAGTAATTTTACCAAGTACTTTGTATGCACTGAAGTAGATACTGTCATGATCTTTTACAGATTAGGAAATCTAAAATAAAAGAATTACTGTTCTAGTGTTGAAGCCAAGCAGACAGATGTCTCACTGTAGAGCTTGTATTCTTACCAGACAAACTAACAACAAAGTCCTCATCAAATCAGCTTCATTAGAATTACATTCAACTCAATGATCTTTATTTCTTGATGAACAACTTCTGAAGACATGTGACAATGTTGATCAGTCCTGAGTACCTGAAGTCCTCTTACTTTCAGATTATGTAAAACCTCCCCATCCACTATCTTTTGAACTCTTTCACTAGTTCTTTTTCCTTTACTTAACTAATTAAAACATGTCTAAAATCATGCCAATAACTAAAAGTTCATTGTTGCCCACCAAAATGTGGTGTTATCCAGAATTTTAAGCAGAATGAAAATATCAGAAAGAAGGCACAAGTCACCAAGAAGCTTGGCTTGTCATGCTCCTATTTTCTGTCCAAAGGTGAGAGGCTGAAGCACAACATTTTTCTCATCTATAATTTTTAGCATAGCTGCTGTCTTTGGTCAGAACAATTGTTCACCATGCTGACTTAGTTAGCTTCTATTTATACTGCATATAAATTTAAATTTCCTTTCTCTAGGAAACCTTTCCGGAGCCCCTGATGCTGAGGCCCCCTATAGCTTTAACAGCTATAACTATGGCATTTATCATGCTTTCTTGAAATCACACTTTGTCATCATTATGGTTTATATGCTTGTGACTCTTTTCATTCATGACTGCATCCCAAATGTCTAGCATGCTATCTGCCTCATCATGAGTATTGAGTAAACTAACGATCTCAATACTTTAGCTTTTCCTACCATTCAGGCAGTAGGCAAGCCAGAGAAATGATAAGATGCTGACTCCTTCCCTTTCTCATACATGTTGACAGAACTTAAAACTCTTCTCAGGAGGCTCCATGAGGGTATTATATGCATACATGTGGCTGATCTTCAAAAACAAACTTTTGGAATTTTGGAAAACAAACACTAAACATTAATTTATAGAAAAAGCAATGTAAGAAAATCAAACTTTCTAGAGATGCTCATGCAATACACAAGGATGGAAACTATACATGTACAGACTAGATAAGCCATTCATGCAGTGTAAGTAATCTAATTTGGCATTCATCAGTTTGTGTTTTCCCTTTGGCACTGATTCTGTGTGGGTGTGACACTGTTTCAATTTTCAGGTGATAAAGGGTTATGAAATACAGCCTTTCCTACTTTTCCAATTCCTAAGATTTACACATATGTCTCCTAGGCTAAAGCTTGTTCTACTCTATTCCTCTATTTATTTTTTGTGTATGTCTGTTGCGAGGAAGATCTGGACTGGTCCCTTGATAATATTATGATGTCATTACTCGTCACAATTCCTCCCAAGTGAAATTGATTTTATACTGGAGAAAGTACAATATGACTAGTAAATATTTACTGAGTACCTACCATACGTGAGAATATAGTGAAGAAAACTGCTTGTGTAGAAGCTTGTTTTGCATTTCCCTATCCTTAGTTATAATAAGTTACTTAGAAATATATCCACAAACTAATAATGAGACTGACTTGAAAGCAGTACATGGTCATACATATATTTAGAGGTCACAAGAATGTATGGAAGGAGAATTTGGAAGTATAATGACAATATTTTTTTAAAAGGAACAATTCTCCTTTCTGAAAATAGGGGAGAAACTTCTCCCTTTCCTTTTTCCTAGAACTTTTATTTTAGGAAACAGATAAATGTTAATACCTTCCCCTCTTTTCCTTTCGAAAGCTAGAGGCCTTTTGCCACATTTATGACCCAACGTGTCTTTTGCAAGAACAGTTGGGCTGGTCTTTTTGAAGTGCAAACATACTGAAAGATGGCATCTCACTGCCAATTTCCATATAAAGGCAATATTCTTTACTTCTGTAGACTCCTTGCTGTAACTTGTAAAAGTACTGCTTGTGATAAAGAGATTTGTTTTGTCTCTTAATAAAGCCAATAAAATAAGCCAACACAGATAGCAACTCCAGTTCCCTGGTAAACTCTGGATGAACTGTGTGAAATCAGTTCCTATCAAATTTGCTAATCAGAGAACTAGCTATTGTTTACTTTGAAGACATGTGTACAGTGAATTATGTCTGTTTGACTATATAAGGGAGTGAATTTTTTTTCTGTGTTTGCAGTCTCTTAGTGTGATTACATGTGATTCATACCACATGTGTTTAATGCTTATCCAAAAACAAGATTGCTTTCTCTCTCTACTGTCTTTATGGAAAGGATTTCTGAGTTGGGATAAATTTTGTTTTTAATTACATTAAAATATTGTGTACAGTAATTATCAATAGCAGAAGCTACAGCAGCATTAATAAAAAGTGACTGTTCCTTGTTTTTAAAGTGACTGTTTCTAGATGGCAAAATTTTGCTGTTTTTGCTCACAGACACATACACATTTTTTCTTCAAAGATGTTTTTACAATGAGAAGTGAGATGGCTTTTATTGTGGGGAAAGCATGTAACAAACTGACACAGTATTTTTTCAGGGGAAAGATAATGGCTCAGATTTCCACACTTCCCAGTTCTCAGCAATGCATTAATGGAAAATGAACAGAAAGGCATCTCCAGTCTTAACCCTGTCTGGGTGTGGTCTCCTCTTTCCATTTGCCATCAGAAGCTGTTCTACAAACCAAGAGCTGAACAGCACCTCCTAAAGGAATAAAGATTAGTCTGTGTGGACAAAAATCTGATTTTAATTCCAGCCTTGCCAATGCTTTCTGGAGACTGTCAGTGGTTATTCTGGCCATGGTCAGCTGTTTACTGGGCTACAATGCCTCTGGCATTTCTCCTGCTCCCCATGCATCTGCCTTGGACCCCCCCGCATCTTAATCTTCTCATTTCTGCCTCTTTCAGAAAGAGACTCACAGCCTCATGGTGGTGTTGCCTGAGCTCCTGTTTGCAGGACAGAGTGTGCATGCCTCTGAGAGTAAGGAAGTGTGTGTGAGGAGTGCCCAGCAGAGCAGGCAGAGCAGCATGCTGACTCTGGTAAGTGCTGCTGCTGACTCTAAACTGTACTTAGCTTTTGCATTAGGTCTTCCCCTCAATTACCCTAACTCTCTCAAGGGCTAATTATATCCCCTTCTGTTCTGATTCTGGCTTCCATCAGGTCTGCTATCCCCAAATTACCAGCTGCTACTCCATTGGTCTGAACCCTCCTCTGCTAGGGTTCAAGTTTCTTCCCTTCCTATGGAACCTTCTACAATTAGAAGAATGAATCTAGGCAGTTGTTAGATATGTGCCAGGGCATTTTATGAAATGACGTTCCCTAAATCATCTGTCAAAGTTTGGATGCTGCTGTGTCAGATGGCATGTAGATATCCTAGACTCTCTGCATGTCAGCTAAGAGAGGTCCTATCTGTGATCCAGTCAGGGGGACTCTAACCTGGACAAAGAGGCCACATGGTTAAAGTGGAAATGCAATGAATAGAGAGAAGAACAGACAGATATTCAAATACATGTTTTATCCCCTAAGGAATAGAGGAAATAAAAGCCATCAGTTCTAAATATAGCTGAATATATTTTAAAACCATTTTGGGGTTCAGTGCTTCAGTCATTGAAATGTATTTAATTTAACAAAACATTTTCCTGGATATCAGAAAAAAGCTATTTACATATTTTTCATGTTGTTTTTTTTTTTCTCGTTAAAAACTCTAGGTTTAATGAGCCTGTTCTTGGCTTTTACTAATTCATAAACAAAAGAAGGTGGTATGGGTCAAATTAAAATGATCATAAGGGCATTTGCCTCAAAATTTAGCACACTGAGGTGAATTCTGTATGATAATATGAATTACACCTGAATCTTGAAGGTTTTTTTTTTTATTAACCATGTAATTTTCTCTTCCATTTTTCTTTTGCTGATACAGGTATATTTCAGGAAATAGATTGTTCCATAGTAAGGGAGGCAGAGCATAAATAAAGGTGGACCAGAAGGGTGAGAGGCACAATGCATCCCAGCATTAAGGCAAAAAATTTAGGCATAGACAGAAGCAGCCAGGTTGCTGAGCTGCCTCAGACTTGCCCAATCTATTAAAAATTCTCCTAACTATTGTCAGCAGGAATAGCTATGAGGCTGAATCAGAGAATCAGTGCACTTCTAACTGTTCACAGAGTAGATATACTAGCATGATAATTTGCAAATAGGAAATGTAAGCAATAATTTTAATTACAATGCTATTCTGCAAATACATCTTTTTTTAATTCTAAATGAATTGATAATTATAAACAAAATTTTAAAGCATTTGTGCTTTTAATCAGCAAATAAAATTTTTATATGGTTATCATGTTGTTTTGGAAAACATTTGCATTGTACAACAGCTAGATCAAGCTTATTAATTTCTGCCTTACCTTGCATCTTTAGCATTTTGGAAAGATAAGAACCTTTAAACTCTATCCTCACAGCTATTGTCAAGAACACAGTGCAAGTAAATGCTGAGCTTCGGACTATCTAACTTAACTTCATTTCACTTCTCCAGTAAGGTATATCCAATCAGCAGGTTTAGCATATGAAAAGTTTGCCAACAGTATGAATCTTAGGCAAACTTTTAAAAATATATAGATGGTAAGAAATATCTGTCTGTAAGATGGATTCAATTGGATCAACTCCTAAATACTGGTGTAAGATTATCAGATGCACCCAAGCTCGTTCAATCTGTCTGGGCTCAAGTTAAGATCCTGCCAAATAATAATCACTTGGATTTATAGTCCTATGTAATCCTTCCTCAGACAGCTTTCCTACAAGGGGAAGGACTTATCTGATCTACACACAATTAAGTAAAGCACTGTTAAAAACTCTTTACAGATGAGAAAATGGAAATGCAGTGCAGTGAGCAGTATGCTGTCTGCGGTTCAATGATGACCACAGAGCTTGACCCTCGAGTGCTGTCAATGACCTGAAAGGTCTTTGTGAATCCCTTTAACTGGCAGAGACCTCATATCCTGTCTTTAGAGAAGACACAAAACTGGAGATCTTATCAAACTATCTGGCCTTTCTTAACTAAAACTAATCCAGGTAAACAAAATATTTTGTACCAACAAATTTTGTCAAAAATGCTTTATTTTGCAAAACAGAAGGGGACCAAGAGATGGGTGGGGTGGGGAAAGGGAGGGACTGGGATTCAAATGTGTTGTGTAGGTAGGTGCACCAACCTCCCATGAAGAATGTAGTCATTATGTACTGCAAACGTACCAATTAAAAAAGAACACAAAATACTTGTTGAAATGAAACAGCAGCAACAACAAAATAAATACATGAGTGAGAAAAGTGAATTTTTGCCCAGTATGAATGCTGTATAGTAAAAGCGAGGACCTGCTCCTCGGGTCTTACCCCTTCCACAGCTTCGCTCTCGAGGGGTGACCACGGCAAACAGGCCTTGCTTCTATGTCTGTATTAACACAGAACTCTAAACAGAAATAAGCTAATTCTGTAAATAGCATTCTGAAGCTTTATTTTTCACACTTCAGTTGGAAATGAGCAATCTTTTTTCAATATGGAGTAGTGAATCAAAGGGAAAATAACCCAATATATTAATAATATCCCAGAGTCCAGAAGTAAAGAAAAACACAGACAAATCAGACATTCGTCATTATTTTACAGGACTCCAACTTTTCCTTTCTTTAAGTTGTTGTATTTTCTCTTAGGTTATGAGAAAGAAAACTTTAAGCCTAACTAGAGCCAAAAATAAAGCCAAATACAAGAAATTACACTATATACAACCTTTTATAGTGGTTCTCTTGTTTTCTGTCAGTGGTATATTGTAGCCTTTGTACTTATCACAATGGAAAGGCTATTTAGACAGGAAGTTCTATTTAAGGAAACTGAATCAATTCAGTATTTAAAGCCCCCTTATTTCTGAGTTATCTAACCCCGTCTAACAGTGAGGCATGTATAGCTAGATAAAACAGTCACACATTCTTGTACCAAATGCAACCCTCTAACTAAAACTTTACAGGTGTTTAGTAAGAACATTTGAGAACAAATAAGTATAAAATTTTTAACCCCAAGTTGCTTTAAAAAATAAAGAGAAAATATAATCTATAAATCTCAGAAATAAGGTTATACTTCAGAAGGTTATATTTCAGAATGAATTTCATCTATTTCTTATGATCTTATTGTTGCCTGAGGCTGCAATCACAGACCTAACAACTCAGTGGAAAGGAAAATATTAAAATCTCAATGGTAGTCTTAAATTGTATGTTTGTGATATTTTAAAAAAAGACTTTTTTCGCTGAATTGTCTTTGATTAAACATTGTCATAGAAAGTATCAGGTTTCTGTACTAAGAAGAATGATACTTATTTTCTGAAACTCTTAAATGGAATGAAGTTAGGGTGAAAATAATCGGATTCTTAGGGTTTCCATTCCCAGTTTTACTTCACTCTCTTACCACAGATGCCAAAACAAGCCCTGCTCACCATCCTCTAGTAACTCCTAACATGGCACTGGTTCCACTATACTGACCAACTCTGTCGTATCTTCACACAAAATGACAGTATACACCTTGAACAGACATACTGATTTCAACCAAAGTGAAAAACATGATTAGAAGACTCATCATTTCCACCCTGTTTCTCCACCCATCTGCTGGCTAATAAGAATTCTATTGTTATACCCCTTGTTATAATTGAATAATCTTCCATAAGCAACCTCAGCTTAAGTGACTCTATTTCAATACTGCTGAATGTGTCATTCAGTGCTCTGAAATGGCTTATGGAAGCATAATGGAGTCTCTCACAGAAAAAAACGCTGCTATACTTTTGACTTTTATTAGTAGACTTCTCCATGTACAGACATTCAGTGGAAATCTTTTCTTCCAGGATTCCTGCTGATTTGATGAATATTAATAGCAAAATGTAGCATGGTGGTGCAGTTATGTAATTTCAGCTCTCTGGCAGACTAAAGCAGGAAGATACAGAGTTCAAGCCTCGCTGGAGCAACTTGGCAACATAGTGAGACTCAGTCCCAAAATAAAAAATAAAAAGGAGTTTGGATGTTGCTCACTGTGAAAGTCCAGGGTATAATTTCTAATACCACACAAACAAAAGCAAAGAAGAAAACCCAAACATATACTTCAACAAGGTAAGCTATTATAGAGGAAGATAGAGGTACACAGGGTCAAGACTGGCACACTTGAATCATTCATGAAATTAGTTACATTTAAGAATCTAAAGCTAATATATTCTGAAATTTATACAATTACCAGTGTCTCATTTTCTATGTGTAATAATAAATGTGAATACTGAAGATACTACCAAGAATTACATACATTCTTGCATTAAAAATAAAAATAATAAACTTTACGGTGAATAATCCACTCACTCTTGGAAGCAATGCATTCATCTGGATAAATAATTTCACTGCTTTTTGATACCATAGGAATTCAGCCAAAATAACAAACCTACACTCTGCTTGAAATAAACAGTTGTAAAATGTCTTCATCACTCTTTCTGGCAGTGTAATATTCCACAATGGCATAAATGCCACATTTTCCTTATCCACTCATCTGCTGATGAGCACATATACTGTTTCCAAAATCTGTTATAAATTGTGCTGCTATAAACATGGGTGTGCATTATTCCTGTAATATGAAAGTGGAGTAAAGCGGTAGATATCTACATTTATCTTTATATCTACCTACGTCTGTCTATATTGATCTGTGTCTATATCTATGTCACAGGAATATCTATCTAGAAAATGAACTTATAAGGGGGAGATGTTGGTCAAATGGAATTTCTTGCTTTAGTTTTCTGAGGAATTTCTACACTTAAAGATAAACTCAAAGCATTTATAAGTAAATGGATGCAACTGGAGAACATAATTTTAAGTGAGACAAAACAAACACAAGTTCAAAAATCACATGGTTTCTCTTATATGACAAACACAAACTATTTACATGTATGTGCAAATAAAGAGCAAAAGAGAAGGAAGATAAATATAAACTACAGAGAAGTTCAAATATTCCCCCAAATTACATATTCCATTGCTTCAAAAATATTTTAATATATATGCTAATTTGTTTAACTTATATAGTAATATATGTATATCATTTATTTCTTTTTTGTAAGAATCTTTTTGATTTATGTCTTGTACTGTGAATAACTATTTCGATGACAACAAAATTCAATGTATGATCTATTGTTATTTCTTATATTGTTATGGAATTTCTTTTTTCATAAAATAAAAGTTCTCATTGCTAGTCTCTTCCTAAGATCCTCAAGTATTCTAGAAGTAATTTTACAAATAAATTGGGAGCATTAATATAAGTAGAACAGCTCATTAAAAAACACAGACTGTGGTAAACTCCAGTCATCATCCTGACTCTGAAATATTCCCTTTTGAGATCTGCCACACCTCCCTCACAGCAAATGTCACTTTTTAGTGAATTCATCAGTTTGGTCACCAGACTGTTCTGGAAAGAAGCTTAGGTGATGAGCAGGATCATGCAACTTGCTTATAATATGAAGAACTGTGCATTGTATATTCTTGGATCTATATGAGCAACTTTAGCTCCACAATAGGTGCCACGTCTATACTCAATCAGTCTATTCAAAGGAGCTGTGTTGCTGATTCCTAAGGAGGATTTTGCATAGTGGGATGTACTGTTGCCCTTTTATGCACTGAAAACCACTGATAAGCTACTGGCTTGTGACCTAATAAAGCACTTAAAGCTGTTCTGGAACCTCTGGCTGGTAGGGAATCCCACTACCATTATTCCACTAGTCACCACGTATCTGCCCTCACTAGAATGGGAACTCTCTTTTTTCCTCTACTTTTTGATTCCGGGTTTATCAGAAGTTTTTCACTCTACACATGCATAATCCAGAAAAATATGTGGGTTGTCTCTTTGGAGTCACTGCTTTAAGAAAAAAATCAGCTTCTTGTAGTTCTGCCTCTGAAAGTAGGAAGGTCGTAGTTAAAACTAGACCAGGATGATTTTGATTCTTTGATGCTATATATGGATCAAGTTTTTTATATAAGAGCTTTTTTTTTCCAATAGGGAAAAAAAAACATCTTAAAAACAAGAGTAGCGAATGAAGTTCTGAAAGATGCCTGGTGATATTCTTGTAGAAATGGAAATGGAAATGTAAAAGCCCCAAATATGAAGAACTTCAATCCTCATGGAAAATTCTTGGAAAAAATTTTGTTCTGGGAGCAGTATTCCCAAACCAGGAGTAAACATTGTCTACAGAAGTCATTTAAAAAGACACCTTTGGGCTGGGGATTAAGCCAGCAGCACAAGCGCTGGCAAGTACAAGGTTGTGAGTTTGATCCCAGATACTAAAGACATAAAATAAAATAAAAATAAAAAAATAAAAAGTCACCTTTCATCAACTATTGCCCAGATGTTGACATCAGCAGATCTTTACAGAAAGGAGGGAACAATCTTTGTGATGTCAACTTCTGTGGTTAGACAGAGATGCTCTCCAAGCATTCACTGTGTCTTTTAACATGTTTCTCAGAATTATAAAAAGGATAAAAATTATTAGAGGGGTCATTTTTTACAAAACACTAGGATTTTCCTCTGGAAAGAAAATAAAGTCAAAATGATTGCAGTTGTCAGATCAAAGTTATAATAAATACAAAATTACAAAGTTTTGAAAAGACAGTCACAGTATTTTATCACATTAGCAAATAAGCTTATAATCCAACAGACAGCATAAATAAAAACATGCATGAAAATTTTGTCTCCTTATTGAGACATAGCTACTGCTCTCCAGCACATATACATACTGCTTTCAGTCTAAAACCAACTTTCTTTGTGTAAAAACAAGTGGCACTACTCATCTTTAAAGCATATAAAGTGATGCCAACAGAAACTTTAGGCAAATTATTTTGGTTTTCACTTATTACTTTAAAATGAATTCTACAAGGATTTTCTAGATAGTTCATTAATACCAACAGTACATTTGAACCCTATAGTTAGACAGTTTGTTTGTTTCAGATGTAGAAAAGCAGATAAGCAAACATTTTCTACAAAGTTTTTTAACTTTTTCCTTACATCTGTCATTGATGATTTTAGACAGTATTACTCTGATACAGTTAAAGTCAGTGAAAATATGTTGACTCAAAAATC